GGTGGTTGTTCACCAAACAGAAAATGGTTGATTAAAAGAAATCTTTTTCATATATATTCCTACTCTTTTTTTGCTTTTTTTTACCTAGAAACATTCCCAGAAATGTATTAAATCACACAGAACAAAAATAAAAAAAGTACATTTCGCAGAAACTATCAAAAAAAAAAAAAAAAACAAAACAAAAACAAAGAGAGATCTCGAATGTGATATTAAAACATTAAAATAAAATTTAAATTAATATCAAAATCAATCGCCATAACCTAATATATATAAAACAACGTTGTGATAAAAAAAAAATAAAATATGTCTTGAGAATATACAACAACTAATGTAGAAAGTCATATCAAAATGAGTAAGTCATCGTCATTGTTTAGATCCGTATATTTCAACAAGAAATCATTTTAATACCGCAACTGTACAATTCCATGCCTGATAGTAACTTGGATGTAATGAAAACTGCGAATAACGAAAAATAAAAACAAAATAAAAAAGAGAAGTTAATGAATCTCTAGCGAATAAAACCTCATTCTTCAAGAACGCATGCCGACACAGCATACGTGCGAAGAGCAAATCGCACAAAAGAATTGGAAAAAACTCCTCAAACTTCATTATAGTTGTGAACGACGAGACAGACATTGCTTTCGACATTGAATTGATCAACACAAATATCAGCACGACGAACTCATAAAAGTGGCCAAGTTATGGTAATTGATTTCTCTTCTTTTAACATTTTATTACTTAAACTATGCGCTTTGTATAAATGTTTACACACATATCTATATTCTTGAATAGTATATATTTTATGGATGTTACGGTGTAATAAAACATTCATCCAAATACCATCATCAAACTCATATTTGGTCAATTCTAAAAGACAACAACATTAACATTTGTTTTGCAAGAGGAGCTAATTTGAAAATTCAATCAAAAAAAAAACAAAAAAAACAAACAAAAACAAAAAAAAGAAAAGACTTCATAATTTTTAGATATATATATATATATATTTTATATATATTTAAATATATATATATATATATATTGGCAATTCATCATTTCATCATTATCATCATCATCATCATCATCATCATCATCACCATCATTATGAAAAACACATAAATACGCGCAATACGCTGGCAAATAATATTGTAAAGGACACGCAACGAACGAACAAACGATCCATCCATCCAATGTTTCTTTGCAACTGTGTGTGAAATTCTACTGTGTGTGTGTAATTCAATTATTTAAGACTCACAATTCAATTACAAGAAAAAGGCGAAAAATTTTTTGCTGCTGCTGTTGCTATTACATTTAAATATATACTTATTTATATATATATATATATATATATACATATATATTTTTATTCTCTATTCATATCACATATTGTCGTTGTTGTTGTTATTGTTGTTGTTGTCGTTGTTGTCGCCTATATCAAACACCACCACCACCACCACTGCCATCACTACTACTACTACTACTACCACCACCACCACCACTACTACTCTAACTGCTATTACTACTACTACTACTACTACTACTACTATTATTATTATTATTACTACTACTACTACTACTACTACTACTACTACTATATTTGTCATCACCACTTCTCTTCCTTAATAAAACAGAAACAGTTGAGAAAAAAAAAAAAAGAAAACAAACGCATCAATCAGCCAGGATTCTATCGCAACATTCAAATTTTTTCAGAACATTACCTCAATAATCATCTTGATTTGTGTGAAATCAAGCAACCAGCACAAGTTCTAATTAAGAGTAATAATAATTCCACCTACATATCAACATTGTTTATATAAGCAAATCAAAAAAAAAAAAAAAAAGCAGTTAAACAATTAAAAAAAAAACAAAAAACAACCAAAATATTTAAATAATTAAAAAATAATTAAAAAAAAAAAAAAAAAAAAAAAAAAGCAAAAAAAAAAAAAACGCAAAAAAATTACTAATGATTTGTTTTCTCTATCTTTCTTTATTTTTATGAACAAATTGATAGTTTAAGAAAGGTATGAAAAATTATTAAAATAGCAAAATACAGGAAAAATTGGCCAAAAATATTGTCGAAATTGTATACAAGTGTTATATGACAACAATGTTTATAAACATTGAAGTGCTAAACGTAAACCCAGATACATAAGGACATCATAAATATGAATAAAATGAAACGATTGTGATATAAACTGGATTACAATATTTAGGATAATTATATCTCCGGATTCCCTCCCAACTTTTTTTCTATTAATCAATATCATCGCGACGGTAACAGTATAGCTTCAGGATTCAAGCTAAAAGGAATAAAAACACAAAAACACAAAAAAAAATAAAAATAAATAAATAACAACGAAAAAAACGAAAAAATTAGAAAATTAAAAGAAAAGCCTAGCCCAAAAATTTAAAAAAAAAAAAAAAAAAAAAAAAAAAAAGACTGATCGAAGATCAAATCATGTTACAAATGAATGCCTTAACAGAGAGTCTTATGTCAAATGCATTCGATTTAATGGAGGGATCGTCGGTGGCTCAACAATTTTTAGAAAATCATATGGGTTATATAAGACAGAGACAACAGTTAACGCAATTGGAACAACAACAACAACAGCAAGAAGCGCAAAATTTATTTCATATAAATGCGCAGCAACAGCAACAACAAAAACAACGTGAAATACATATAATGCCAACAAATTTGGTAAATTCTTCGACATCGTCATCGCCGTCATTATCGTCCTCTTCATCGTCGGGCTCATCGCCAACAGCGTCATCATCTAATAGTCACAATTTGCAATACAATAAAATATATTTGCAACAAGTCACTAGAACAGCGCAACAGCAACAGCAACAGCAACAACAGCATCGTCAGCAGCGACAACAACAACATCAACGCAAACATTCCTTTGTTAAAACGCACATAGATAATGTTATCAATGATAAAAACGATAATCAACATTTTAATCAATTAACACAATTTAATTTACAACTGCAACAGATGGATGTTCAACAGCAGCAGCAGCAGCAACAACAACAACAGCAGCAGCAGCAACAGCAGCATTTGCCGCAACAGCAATCAGCTAATAATGCGCAGACTACAGCCATTAATAATAACAACAACAATCATAATAATAATAATAATAATAATAACAATAGTCAGAATCATAATGCCAACGGCAATAGCGTAACTGTGCTTAGCCGTAGCACTCTATCACCTCTACAGCAACAGCAACAACCGCAAACACAACAACAATTATTACAACAACCTGCATCCACCGCGAATGCTATTATCAGCAATTTAACTTCAAATGCCAGCTCGTCGGCAACAATTCTAACCCAGCAATTACAGCAGCAACAGCAGCAACAGCAGCAACAGCAACAGCAGCAACATCATCACACACACCAGCATCCGCATCAGCATCAGCACGCTGCTAGTTCAACATCTCCTTTTAAGTCATGTTGGTGCCTTGGTGAGTTGTTTGAAAAATTTAAAATTGTAAATGTGTTTATAAAGCAACATAACTGCAATAATTCAATCAAATCAATAATCATTACATCAATGCGACTATTCAATAATCATCTTGAGGTGCATCAATCAGTCACTAAGCAACAACATTTTTACATCTATATTAATAAAATTAAAAGCAAACGTCGGATCTAGTTACAAAAAAAGAGAGAGAGAAGAAGAAGAAGAAGAAATTTAAACATTTAATTTGAAACACTGCAGTGAAAAGAATTTAACAAACTATGAGAATAAAATATTCTATGGGAAGGTTTCTAGAAACACACAAGTAAATAATCAAAAAAAAAAAAATAAATAAATATTGATATAATAATTCAATTCAATTCATTTGCTTTACATACGGCAAGAACTTATTATTATTCACACGTCTCTATACACGCATTAATCATAAGCTACGCAAAATCTTATCTTTCTGTTTTTTTTTTTGGTTTTTTTTTTAATTAATTTTTTTTTTAAATTAATTTCTATTTTTTTTTTTTGAAATGAAAATATAAAATTTTCTAATTTTGTACGTATGCAGCATAACATATGGACAACGGCTAAATGCAAAAGCAATCAGCAATACTTTACGTATTGTCCTCAATATTCATCAGTTCTTCGGAATATCTCACAGCATCCTCTTGATATTCTATCTATGAATAATTATAGCTATCTAATATAGATCATCATACTATTTAATATACCTTTCTCTCTCTTTCATCATTATTATTTATTCTTTACATTACATATGCAATACAAACAGTGGTGTGTGTGTGTGTGTGTGTGTGTGTTTGTTAAACAACTCTCTAGATATATGTAAATATATATCCGGCTAAAATTTATTCTTCTTCATTTGGTTATGCTTTCAAATGATTATTAATTCATACTTTTATGTATGTGATTTTCATAAGATGGGCGTCGATAAGCCTATAAAGCTTTCTTCTTTTTTTTTTCTTCTTTATTAGATTAAAGCATCGATTCATTTGTCAAACTGACCAAAAAAAAAAAAACTTTAAATGATGCTCTTCTAAAATGAACATATCAAGTTCGAACATCCTAAATAGCTGGGTCCAGAAGCCTATTTTCCATTTTCGAAAAAGTTTTATCTAAATAAAATTTCATACCTTCAATTTTAGTTTAGTGTTTATCGTAGCAAATCAATATCACATACATAGTTTGTTGATAACCGTATTGATGCCAGATAATAGAGCAATTAACAGGCACTCTACAATTATATATATGTGAGTCATCAAATTCACAATCAGCCTATCTTTTGATAATCATCAAACAGTACCGAGTACATCTGGCTTAAAATATGGAATATCGTCTTTTATCTACCCATATATATATATGGTGTCGATAGTCCTTTTGAAGGCAATTTCTTACTCTTCTTAACTTAGGGACATGAGATTCACTCTGCTAGAAATCCCTTTAGATAATATAAATAAAATAAAATAATAAATTAATATAAAATTAATTATAATAAATAGAAATAATAATTAATAAAATAAAATTGAATAAAAATTGTCTATAAGTCACAACAACCGTCACAATCGTTGCGCATTGATTCATCGTATTAATCAATCAATCAATTTTCGCTTCATTTCGTAATTCGATATTTTACATAATACAGTTATCTCAGTCGACAAAATCGATTCATCAGCAGCCGCGATTTGCAAATAACTTAAGTTATTGAAGATTAGTTTTGTTTAGGCGTAAGCTCGAAAAAAATAAAAAACCGTTGTCTTTGCGTTTACTTGTTTTTATATTGAATTTGATATGATCAGATGATCAGTGTAAAAAAAGTGTCAATCTGCCAAAACCTCCGACGTTCATTTCGAACTCATTCGCCAATATCGTCGTAAAACTCGTCGCGTGCCTTAACACTTGGTATTACTAATGTTATCGGCAAAGTTTAAGGCTTAACATTTTTTAGACTACATAATCAAAACAGCTCAACAATATCTCTTTAGACTTTCCATTTAATATTTACTTTAATGTAAACATACTTAGGGAGAAATTAAAAGAAAAATAGAATCACGACAACACAATGTATGCTTGTATGTTTGTTGTATGCCTTTGAAGGAAACTTTCTAACCTAAACTGAAATAAGAAGACATTAAAAAAATATATATATAAACATATATAAGAACAAAAGAGAAAATGTATGTATATGAACAAGACACACATATATATGTATGCATTATTTATATGTTGTGGCATAGATTTTAATTAACATAGGATGAATCCTTATATGCTTTACTGTCTAAAATGTCTTTTAACCTACTCTCTTGGTATGAAATGTAGGACAAATAAGCGCTATTATCTTCAAATCGGTCGATAAACAATGCCTGATGCATGTCATTCCTTTCCATTCTTCTGGCATTTACATTTATTATTATTATTATTATTATTATTATTACTATAATAATGATAATGAAGACTCGATTATTACGTATGAGTCCGTGATTATTTAACTTACGAAATATGAAAAAGTTAAAATGCGAAGTCAATCTGTCAGTCGTCAACAGTCGTCAACAGTGTACCAACTTTCCATAACCTATCTATATTGAGGAAACTTTTCTCGATCGACATCAGTGCTTCAATTTTAAATTCTATCGACCAGCTTTTATCTTGATTGTCAAAACAGATTTTACTGTGATGCAACTGTAATCCACTTGGTTAACCAGATCACGTTAAATATCTTTTAGAAACATAGTAACATAGTTTTTTCATGTCAGTTGACTAAATCCGTCTAATCTTCCCTTCCGTATAACAAGTAATAGCCTGGCAAGTATATGGCACTGCACTCATTCTTCTCACGTGAAAATATTTTCGGCATGAAAGCCCTGCGCAAAAAATTTCCGTTCAAGTTTCGTGTAAAAATCTTGCATATATATCTCTGTTTAACCACATAGTTCGCAGATCTCGCTTCTGATTCTTTAAGCAGTTTATGTTATGGTTTCTTTGCTGGATAAAAGATAGTAAAGCGAATTTTTTAATTCTCTTTTAAAGCTCTTTTAAGATCTGCGCTTCGTTAGTGTTAGTGTCAGTTAAAAAATTTCAAAAAAAAAAAAAAAAAATCTTTTCCTATTTAAGTTACACGAAAATCGATCGTTCCTTCCTCCCGTAACAGATATATATACATGTATATATGCATATATATTATGAATTGAAAGATGCAATTCACTTGTACACTTGTGCATATAGTGATACATACGATCAACTTAACATGAATACCATTTTGATTTTAAAGTTTATTACTCTCTTTTTGGCAGTCCTGTTATTTACTTGGGCGTAAATTTGTTTATGATATTACAAGAAAATTGCATTAAACAATGGACTTCCTTTTAACTCCTTCTTGTACTCTTCAATAAGCGACGACAATTAGAACAATAACAATATGTGAAAAACATACGTTTTTAAGCATTGACTATATTGAAAAATGAATTAGGCATCAGTGGCAGTAACGCATCAATGGTGTACTATAGCTGGTGTTGCCAATGTGTCGTGGATGAGTTTTGTCATGTTACCATAACATTGAAAGAGACGCCATAGTAAGATTTTTAGCGTAATTCTGTTAAATTACATGGTAGTGCTCTCCAGTGATTATACACTGGAGCGGGAGCGCCATGAATATGCAGCTGGCTGTTCTTCTAGCCTGCTATCTTAATCCTTGCAAGCCTCTTTTTGGTCATCCACACATCATAATCTTTAGGCGATAACCTTTCGATGGTAATCCCGAGCTTATTTTCGCCTCTTTTTGGTCAGGATTTTGGATCTCATAATAAAAGGCAACCCTGATTTAAACACAGGCATCTTAGCTTTCGGCATTTCAACAAACGAAATCCGCTTAGCTTGCATACTTTTCTTTATTACCCTAGCATGCTACGTTGGCATGCTTTGCCGCTACATCTTGCGGTATACAGTCAAATGAATTATTTTGTTCCATCAAAGGTTTACAGTTTTTTGGTTTTGCATCAACACGCTTTCCGAATTCTCCAATCAATTTATTTGTATCATCATCATTAGCTTCACTCCGTTTAAAAGCAATTTGACATTTATCACTATATTTTTTCATCGAAATTTGATACATATATCTATATGCTGCTAAAAAACAGCAACAACTCCATTTTTATTCATAGTGTCGTTGATGTCTCGCAATGATAAGTTCATAGTGTGCATATAAATAACACAATCGTGATATATGTAGCGTGCAAAAATTGTTACCCTCAAGTATGCCGATCAAGGCATACGTGACATAATACACTTTCCTGCATACATCTTAACAGCATATCCCGGTTTCTCAGAGCACTTAGAGCGTGCATGGATCCAACTATGTTTATTTATTTACTTATATTTAATATCATATCCACGATTGAAGGATGGGGTATGGTTTATCTTGTCAAAAGTACCGACATCCTATAATGTCTTGGATACCGATGTAAGCGTGTCTGTCTGTATGTCTATGTATGCTATACATCCACCTGTTTGGAAAAACCAATATATCGACTTCAAATTTGGCATCCATCTCGAAAATTCTTATAGGTCACCTGTTATTGAAAATGGGTCAAATCGGTCAAGCGACAGGCCCACAGTAAATAGTAAATTGGAGACACGTTTGCAAACATTTATGGCTTTTTGCGGAAATTTTCTTCATTTACATGTGAAAAAAAGAACAAATCGGCCACGCCCACACAGAATTATAAGTAATCAATTTTTTTATTTTTCATTTTTTACTTTTTGTTCATTGTCTGCTTATTACTTATAGGATAAACAAAACACAATGTTGAGAATTATTCTGCACATTCTTCACATGTAGCAATGTTATCTGTAGACTACTCGATTTTTTCTTAGGGATTTATGAAATCGATTGGGTATCACAGTAAAAAGTTGAAGAGTAATATGCGACAAGTTACTTCCGTTAATTCTAAATTAAATATCGCGGCTATCACGATGTGATAGATGAATTTTTTGCTTTACAATATCGCCGATAGGGCTATCAAATATCTTACTTGTTATTGATGAAATACAACAATAAGTATTTGCATATTCTATTTAAAATATAAAGATAATGGGTGTCGTAGATTCGAACACAACCGAAAATATTTTTCTTGCTTGCATGCTGGCTTGCTTTCTCTGTGATCGCTACACTTTTACGTATAGGATCATTTAGAAACTGCACAGGCCATCCACGTCGATGAGACGGACAACTATTAGTAAAAGTATTTCGTTGTTGACGAATGCCACGCCTCATTTCAAATCATTCTGATCTTTAGTTTAGAAAACTGTTTAAGTAAAAAAAAAAAATAAATAAATAAATAAAAAAATTCCGATTAAAAGAAAATTTTCGGTAATAAAATCGTAATCGCTATATAATTATGATTGTTTTTCAATGAGACGTACATGGATATGTATGAAACAAATGCAACAAAGGAATTAAATTTTGATTTCATTTATGCAAGCAAATGTGTAATGGATGTAAGCATAAAAAAAATAAAAGATAATTTTTTTTTAAATTTATTTAGTTTTAGATTTTTTTTTTTTTTTTTTTTTTTTTTATTTCGTTTAATTAAACTCTCTCACAACATACGTAATTTATATAAGTTGGGGGAAGGAAATAGGGAGTTTGCTCATTTGCACTATTGTCTTAAAGTTTTAAATGACAAAATATATGAATTTTGCTATCAATTTCACGCTGAAAAGACAAAGAGGGAGAGAGAGGGAGAGAGAGAGAGAGACAGAGAGCGTGAGTGAGAGTTAAAGGAAGGAGAAAATGGACAGAGAGAGAGAGAGAGAGAGAGAAAAAAGCATTTAAGAAAATTCATCTCAATATTTGTCTACGACTTAACTTCATTTATTTTTCAAATAATTAATGTATTTTCTTTTTGCTCCATTTTTTCTTAACATTTCATTGTTTCATATGTATGTGCATTTTTGTGGTGCTTCTTTTCGATCTATTTCTAGGTGAGTCTGTTTGTTCTGGAATTGAGGTTGAAATTGAAAATAATAATAATAACAATCATTATCATCATGGTAAGCTTTATCATTGTTTCATTATCATTACAAAACGAGACTCATTTTTTGTGTTTTTTTTTTTAATTAATATCAATATAAAAACATAAGTATTATTATATATAAATATATGCATACATTTTTTGAGATACACTTTATATATATATATATATATGTTGATTTTTACAGAATATTCTCCATATTTGGTATCCTTCCCTTACACACGAATCTATTTTTTGTACGTCCGTCCTTTAACTGATTTGCAACACTTTTATTCATAGATAGACTACATATAGTAGTCAACAAACACCTAGGACTTACTCTCTTCTTTAATAGTCTATGCAAAATATATGCGCAACTGTATCCCGTTTGCACACTTTTCGGAACTCATAAATTGAAGGTAGACTACATATATAGTATCAACACCGAGGACTTACTCTCTTCTTCAATAGTCTACGCAAAATATATGCGCAATTAATGGATAAGTCGCGCTTAAGGGCTTCTTAGAAATTTCCTGTAACTGATTTGCACACTTTTCGAAACTCACAGATTGAAGATAGACTACTTATAGTATCAACACCTAGGGCTTAGTATAAACATTCTCTTCTACAATAGTCTATGCAAAATATATGCGCAACTAATACTTCCCTTCACGGATAAGACGCGATTAAAAGCTTCTTATAAATTTCACAAAGCATTTCGTATCGATATAGTAGATGAATGAGCTTCATTCACTTCATTGATTCGCAACCAAGAAGAAAATTAAAGACAAACCTGTGCTTTTTATGCCAACTTCTTGTAGCTTCAAGGTCACGTCCTACAATTGGTTGTGCGAAAAGCTTTTTAAAAGTTTTATTGTGTGTAATCTATGTACGCATTATTGAATAACGTGAAGACCTCAAGACCGTTCCAAAATACCCTACTTAAACCTAGTTCCGCGGTTGTGTATGCTATATTTAAAAAACGAAGTAATATTTTCCTCTTCATTTCAATAATAATATGTAATCATAATTTTATTAATACAAGCACCCACATTGTTAGAAGTTTTTTTTTTTTTTGTTAATGCACTTACTTCATTCATGAAGTCCACCAAAAAAAAAAAACTTATGTCAACTCATCAACATTTAAAAGTAAATACCATAGAGAGAAATTCACAGCATCCACCATGTACATAATCAATTGGGCTCGGGCTCGTTTATCATATGTCCACTAAAATCAAACATTAAAAAATGTTATTATTTTTAATTTGAAACCTTTCAAAAAAAAAAAACAAAATTATTACGTAAAATTATAAGATAACCTTTGTTGTTTTTTTTTTGTTTTTTCTTCTTTTTTTTTTTGGTTTCCTACAATTCTCTATTTTTATAAATAGGTGATACAACTTATCACATGAAAATCCTTGTACCGGCGGTGGCCTCCGGAGCCATTATAGGCAAAGGAGGTGAAACCATAGCGTCTTTGCAAAAGGATACTGGTGCTCGTGTTAAAATGTCCAAATCACATGACTTTTACCCAGGTGCGATAATTATGATTACACTTTTAATTATCATTGCATTTATAAAAAAAAAAAAAAAAATTTTTATAGGTACTACTGAACGGGTCTGCCTTATAACTGGCAGTGTAGAGGGTATTATGACGGTGCTTGATTTTATTATGGACAAAATACGAGAGAAACCCGATTTAAGTGCCAAAATTTTAGAGGCCGAAAGCAAGCAGACACAGGAACGTGATAAGCAAGTAAAAATTTTGGTGCCCAACTCCACCGCCGGCATGATTATCGGTAAAGGTGGTGCTTATATTAAGCAAATTAAAGAGGAGAGTGGCTCATATGTGCAGATCTCACAAAAACCCAAAGATATATCTCTTCAAGAGCGTTGTATAACGATAATAGGCGATAAGGAGAACAATAAAAATGCCTGTAAAATGATTTTATCAAAAATTGTCGAAGATCCTCAATCGGGCACATGCTTGAATGTTTCGTATGCCGACGTAAGTGGTCCAGTTGCCAATTTTAATCCGACCGGGTCGCCTTATGCCACCAATCAAAATGCCATAAATTCGAGTACCGCCTCGTTAAACTCCACATTAGGAACGACTATAGGGGGAGCGGCCACGGCTGCTGGCTTATTAGTAAATGGAACCGGGATTAATTTTTCATTAAATTTAAGTGCCCCAAATCCAGCACCTAATCTAGCGGTAGCTACACAACTATTGGAACATATTAAGGTAAACAATCAGTTTAGATCCCTGCAAGTGAAAGATTTTGAAAGGATTCTTTTTTGTTTGTTAATAAGCAGGTCGCATTGCGCGGTTATGGTTACACCGAGACCGCTACAACGGAGGTTTGTGCTGCTTTAGGTGTTTTGGCTAAATACGGTGTGCTCGGCATGGGAGTCGGTTTGCCGCATGCCAATGGTGCTCATACTGCGCTCGGTAGCTATTTGGACATGTCTACATTAAATCAGCAAACAGCAGCTGCTACTGCCGCCACGGCCGGAAATGTTTTTGGCGCAGTAGGTCAAGTTAATTTAGAACAATACGCGGTCGCAGCGGCTGCTGCAGCTGCCACACGACCTGCACAGTCACTTGATGTCGCTGCCGCAGCCGCCCAATTTGATCCATTCCGCCATTTGAGTACGGCTGCAGCTTCAGCGGCGCAAGCCACTACACCAGTATCGCTGAATAATAACAGTTTTGGTTTAACTGCCGCTACTGGTACACCATCGACAGCTCCTACTCTGGGTGCCACAGCGGCTCACACATTGACAGGCCTAAGTAAGAGCCCAACACCGGGCGATTTAAGTGCCAAGGATTCAAAGAATGTGGAAATTCCCGAAGTTATCGTAGGCGCTATATTAGGTGGGCCACGTTTTTATTATCCCTACTAAACAAAAATGAAAAACAAACAAAAAAAAAAAAAACAAAACAAAAGTAAATGCCAAACCCATAACCAAACTAAACCTGGACGAAAACAAATTAAACAAGAAAAAAAAAAAAAAGAAAAAAAAAAAAAAAAACTATTTGCCTTAATTTTTTCCCCTTTTCGTAATCATTTTATTTGAGATTTGCATGGTTGTTATACGAAACCATTCTATTATACAATTAAATTTCTATTTTTTTTTTTTTAAATTTTAGCTACATTTTGTTTTGTCGCGGCTGATTTTAAACTTATTTTTCGTCGCTCACGTTTCACTTTCAGGCAATTTTGACAAAATTTGCTTAAATTATAAATTAATTTATATATCTTATATATATATATATTTATATGTATATATATATATAAATATAACTTAATGCATTTTATTCATCCATCTAAAACGATAAGAAGCCCTGGCCCAGCTTGTGCCGGTTAATTTTCTTTGAACAGATTCGATAATAACTTTTTTGCCAACATTCCATCAAATTCCATCATGAAACTTTACTTTCATGTCCATAAATTGAAAATATTTGTTGAAAATCGTCTTTCGGTTTCAATTTTTCATTGTCGACTTCAGCTTTACAGAAAAATTGAAAAAAAAAAAAAAAAATTTGCGACATTTTGTAAAAGCATTTTAAAATCTAGTCAAGTTCTTGCCGCGCTTCAAACATACAATATATAATAATAAAGTTGATATATATTCATCAACTTTACGCTTCTCAAAAGAATCGCATTACCTAAAGAGTAAGAGAAATAATTTTTCATTCCAAGAAATTTTAAAAGAACATAAACAGAAACATTCATTATTTGCTTTATGAGACAATTAATTTATAATTTAAAACAAAAAAATGGAGTAAGGAAACTTTGTGATTTGACTTACTTTACTTTCACTTTCTCCTTTTCTTCGATGAATAGAAGATAATCACAAAACAGCTTTTATTGGGAGTTTTCAAGCTTCTTGTCAAAAAAAAAAAAAAAAAAGCAAAGGCTGGTCCTTGATTAAATTAATTGACAATTGCACACACGCACGCACGCATATTTTTTTAATCTCTTATCTTATCTGTTTTCGATTTTTTCCATTCGTATCTATTCAACAATTTCATTTTAATTATAGTTAGAAATCGAACGGTAGCATCTTTCTTAAAACATCACTTATTATATCCCCTTGTTAACATTTGTTAACTTTATTTTTTTTTTTTTTTTTTTTTTTCTTTTTTTTTTTATATAATTTTTTATAAATTTAATTTTAAATATTTTCATTTTTAAAAAAAAAAAAAAAAAAAAAAAAAAAAAAGTGTCATTTTTATTTTGTTGTGTATTCATTACCGCCTGCTTAACTTTAATTGCAGTCTTGTTAATTTCTTTTTCGCTTTGTTATTTCCATCGATATCTATAGCCAAGAATTAAGTTATTAATTATGTGACGTAGTAGCTTAACAATAAAAAATTTGTTTTTGTCTTTTTTTCTTTTTTTTTTTTTTTTTTTTGTTCAAAACAAAGAGATTTTAATGCAATTGATTGAAGCAGTTACCCTTTTTGAGAGAAATTTTTCATGTTACAAATGCCTAAATAATAAATATTACATGTCTTGTTCATTCTATTCATAAGTTTATAAAATTCCTTGTGATTGAAGCACGAGCCTAACAACTGTGCATAAATATGACTCAAAAAGGGAAGATTGAAATCACATGAGATAAGCATTTCTTTTTCCCGTGTGTACTGGCTTTTCTAGTCTTCCAACAAAAATAATTCGTAATGGCTTTCCCTTTTCAACTGAAAATATATCTACTTTAACGTAAGCTTTGATGCAAAAATTATGTTAGAAAAGTTGCAACAATAGAGGGCCAGCAAATGGACAGACAGACGGATATGATTAAATCGAAGCATAATATTTTTGTTATCAAGCAACACTTTAGCATAACCGTGAAAAATCTCGGAAATATGCTCATCATTTCAAAGTTGATGTTATAAGGTCATTAAGAGAGCTCAGTAACCGAGGCCGAAATCATGCTCTTCTCCTTTTCTTTCTAATGTCACGAGGCGACCTTAACACGTTAATGGTTATGAGTGCTTCCAGAAAAACTTTTTTTTTTTTTTGTTTTTTTATACAATGCTGTAGACGAGTAATGGGCGTCAACGTGTTAAACAAAACGCAATCGATGAAAGGAATTTTTCAAGTTAAAATTGACAAAACATTTTTCAAGACCTTCGAAAAAAATTCCAATTGTAAACAAGAGACGAAAGAAAACTATTTCCTGATATCAAGTTGGAGTTTAGTATTTAGTGCTCCTTATGAAAAGCATTTGCTCCTTAATTATTTTATATTTATTTGACGGCATGGTTCTACGCTTTTTATACTACTAATGTTAAATATGAAAAATTTCTCATATAAAATATATATATATATATACTTTTATATACCTCATATTTTGCAAATTTTAAGACACTTTATTTAAAAAAGAAAAGAAAGAAATTAAAGCTTCTTAATTTTATTTATAAGACAAAAAAAAAATAATAATAATTTCCAATAAAATTTTTTCTCTTAAATATACATTTCCAAATATACGAATCGAAACGAATCCCATTTCCTATGTAATCCCATTATCCGCTTTAAAAAAAAAAAACAATTTTTTGATATTAATTTCACCAAAAATTATAATTAATATCCCCTTTCAATATAAATACATACGTAACAAATATAATATTATATTCATAATTACAAATCTATAAAAACCGAATACAAATTCCAGGTCCAAATGGCCGTAGTTTAGTTGAAATTCAACATGTGTCCGGCGCAAATGTTCAAATTTCAAAAAAGGGTATTTTCGCACCTGGCACTAGAAATCGTATTGTAACAATTACTGGTCAACCGAGTGCCATTGCAAAAGCTCAAATATTAATTGAACAAAAAATCAACGAGGAGGAGACAAAACGAGCGCGACAAATTCCATTAACCACTGTTGTGAATTAAATTAAAAAGCAAAAGATGTAATAAAAACAAAGAAAACCACAAAAAAAAAAACTAAATAAAATGTCTAACATAACGCCATTACGACATAATTAAACACAAAAAACAAAAAAGAAAAAAAAAACAAAAAATACAAGAAAAGAAAAGAAAAGAACAATTCAATAAAACATTTTCTGCTTAACACCTTAACAGATTTAAGAAAATGAAAAACGTGCTCAACCGATTTTTGAAAGCAAAATTTTTAAAAAAATGTACACATAGTGAATTACATACATACATACATACATACATACATACATACATACATACATACATACATACATCAACACCATAGGCATGATAAATAGTTACAATGACAAACTGAATTTCATTGCATTGAACAAAAAAAAAAAAAAACAACAAACAAAAAAACAAAAAAAAAACCTTAGTAAAATTTGTACATTATGAACGCAATTTATATATTTAATTTTTAATTCAATGAAAAAAAAAAAAAAAACAAAACAAAACAAAAAAAAAAAAAGAAGGAAAGAACACACATAAGTTTAAAATAATTAAAAACAGTTTTTAAAGGGAAAAAGTTCATCATAAACACGATAAATAAAGCACAAAACTTTACTTTCTAATTTATTTTTCCTGGAGGCTTTAAATTTAAACAAAAAAAAAAAAAAACCCGAGAAAAAACCCTTTCACACACACACACACATACACACATCTTTTTTTTTATAATAAATTTATTTTTTCAAATTTTTGCCGCAAAATTTTTTAATTGTAAATGGACAAGGAATGTTAAATATTGAATTTGAAAAAAAGCAAAAAAAAAAAACAAAAACAAAAAATTAATAAGTAAACAATTAAAAAGTAAAAGCTTTGAAGAGTAAAAAATTAAACTAACAGATAAAACTTCGCAGCGAAATCTTATTTGGGTAATTAGTAATAACACAAAAAAAAAAAAAAGCAGAAAAAAATAAATAAAAAAAGAAAGGAAAGAAAAATGCAAATCCATTTCGAGGACTGACAAAACACAAAAAAAAACACAATCTGCGTTATTTATTTATATATATATATATATATATATATGATAACGAAAAGCATAATTAAGTGACTCATGAGTACTTACTTATTATTCCTTCCTTAATCTTTTTAAATGATTATGCTAATGCTGCGACTATTGTGTTAACAAAGTTTCATTTTAATCCTATATGAGGAGCTTTTTTAAAACTTGAAACTTGTTCACTCGAAATGGATTCGTATTGAATGACCTCCCTTTTAAAACGTTTTTTTTTTTTTGGAAAATTAAACATACTTTCCTTTAGTTCTTTCTTTTATCTTTCTTTCTCTTTAAAACTGTTTTGCTTTATTTTTTTTTTTTTTTTTTTTTTGTTTGGAACACAAATAGGACAAAGAAGATGCAATAATAAAATTTAAAAATAGAAAGAAGCCATATGTATAAAGAAGTATATATTATTTAAAAACGCATACAGTACGAAATTGATAAAACAAATCAGGAAAAAAATTTTAGTTTAATTTTTTTTTTTTTTTTTTGTTTTTGTTTTCTATAAGCTTATTTTAATCAATATTTAAAAAACCCCCTAATTAAAATGAAAGTTTTTAGTATCAATTCTTTTATTCAACATTCGCTTCCCATACATATATATATATATATATATGTATATATGTATATATGTATATAAATATATATAATGCAGAGGCTAGTGATGACTTGTTATGAATTCGTTTTCCCCCTCCTCCAGCTACGTCGTTATGAACGATGTTTTTTTTTTAATTTTTTTTTTTTTTTTATCAAAT